ACAAGCGGGGGCTTTGTGTCGGCCCTCCCTGCTGGCAGGCCCTCATAGCAGGACCGGGTAAGTCTCGTTAAGAGATACGACGAATAGAGAACAGTGGCAGCCTGCCCTTGTCATCGGTTATTTCTACATTTCGACATGAGCTTCGTGCTGCCAGAGCTCCGTGGGCTGAAGCCAACTGTTTATCCTGCAGACTGCTGCCCTGCAAGCCTTGGCTGCACAGACGTGCTTGTGTTCCACCTATGGACCTCGATTCACCCCGACCCTGGGGAAAAGAATCTCTGCTACAAAGTCACTGCCACAACCTGAGCTGCACTCGTGGTAACACCTGTGTTCCTGCGATGAGAAACACCATGCAGGGAACAGCGTTCCCAGGTCGCCAGACCTTGGTTTTCCTGAACAGTCCAGGAGCCCCTGACAGAGCTCTGTGTTTTTGAGACCTGCCAGCCAGACATAACCAACTGGAGGCAAGGAAAAGCTCAACAGAATTCCTCCACATGGTATCTATCAAGGGAAAATACTGCTTTCGAACATTTTCCTATCAAGCATGGCCCAGGACTGGTCAAACTCAGCCAAGAGGGCAGCTCATCCTGGAGTTTCTCATCATTGAGGCATGGGCAATCCTTCTCCCTGCTCACCCTCTTTCCTCCTCTGAGTCAAAGACGACCTATTTCGGTAGATCCCCATCTTGTTCTAGCACGCTGCTTCTGTGGGATGTGAACTCAAACTCTGGACAAATACACACCCAAACGCTGTGGCCAGTGAGTCAACCATCACGGTCACTCCTTTACAACAGCAAAACCAGCATCCTGTGCTGCAGCTCTGATGAGAACAGAATGGTATTGCAACAGTCAAACCACCAGTTCTGCTTCTGCCAATCGAAGCGTTACAGAGCTCAGGCAGCGCTCCCCGCAGCGCAGCCTGCTAGCTGGCTTCTGCTGTAGCAGAGCTCAGCACGAGAAATTTGAAAGACAAGCCGCAACTCGCAGATGGGATGTTCTCCCCATAGAGATTTTAACAGCCACACAGCAAACACTTTCTTACTTGAAGAAATTGATGCCCCGCCTAATCTAAGGCACAGGAACGAAGTAAAACCCTCTATAAAACAGTGTGTGTGAAAGGATTCTTGCGAAGGGGAAAGCATTCTGCTCTGTGCTGTGCTCTTACTCAAAGAAGCAAATCCTGGCCCACACGAAGAGCCCTGCGCAGCCCTGGGCTCCTGAACTGAAGAAATATACTCCATGGTTTGGATTTCTTTCCTCCTAATAGTGCATGTAAGGAGTAAAGAGGACACACACAAACTGCATCACCAGCTCCCAGAATTTCCACATGGTATGGCTGCACCAAAGCTCACAAAGAGACTACAAAATAAGACAAAACCAGGGGAAAGCAGGTTTCTAAGTTTAATGTGAATTCAAGTAGAGGCTTAAAAACCATTTGGAAGTTGATACAGAGTGTTGAAGCATGATTGACACCTTCACCAGTACATTTCAGCATACGTGAATCGAGGTAATGGTTCCCTTGTACAGTGAACAGTACTTGGCAGGGACAGTGCGCTGCTTGAACGAGGCTGAATGCCTCACCCGGCCTTTACTACTTTAATTGACATATTCCAAAATTATAAGCACCAGATACAGGAACTAAAAGAACACACCATTAATTCAGACCCTACCTGCAGCAAATCCATAATGTCCATTTCCACGTTACCCAGATAAAGTGAAAGTTCTACCTGTAAGTATTTCTCTGTGACTTTACACAGTCACAGCTTTCTAGCTGGAGACAGGAACGGGGAAGAGATTGTCCGTGCAGCCTTGCGCAATGCTGAGTTACAAAATGAACACCCTTTTAGAAGATCAGCTCATCTTCCGGTAACACTGAAGGACAGTATGAACTGCACGGTTATTGCTGTGCAAACAAGGTGGCAAGCCTACTCATTTCAAGTAGAAGGAAATGGCATCGGCACACTGCTAGAGCCATTCAGCTGAACAGTGGGAGATGAAGGAAGGCCAGTGTTTAAATTTAACTGCTGATAGTAGAATCTATGGAATCAAAGCATGTTAATTGCATATATAATTTTTCACTTAATTCTGTAATGTGAAAGCTTTCAACTGTGGCCTTCAATTCAGCCAGAAGAAAAATCTACCCCATAGCCTGGGCTGTGCATCACCCAAACCCACCTAAAGATCAAAATGAAATAATCACCTGAGCAAGCAAGCACTCCTCTTCGGACAAGCAACTGGCGCCAGGCCCCCACGCCTGACACACGCGGAAGATATTAACCGTGGGTATTTAAAGGAAGCACACGCTATCGTCACACACCGGCTCGTTCAGGTGGAAAGCTGTACTGCGTACTGCATCCACCCCCCGTGGACTGAGCGTTAATTTGCATTCCGCAGCTAAAGCCAAGGCAAGTGGCTATTTTGACACTGAGGGAAGTACAAGAACTAACTCGGTACTAATCAATTCAGTTACTTCTGGGAAGCAGCAGTAGTGAAGGACAGTCCTACGTGACTTTACAGACTTTCTGCATTACCAAATGCAAAAGCTTAGAAGAATTAACCCTACTGTGATCATCAGTGAAGTACATTCCTCTTATCCTCCCTTCTGGGAAACGATATATTATCATATACTATACTTAAACTTTATATTTTATATATATTCTGATATATATTTAGGGTTGGGGTAGTTCTTGCATGTACTTTACACACACATCCAACACTTGGACAAATACAGTATACAGAAGACACCGTTTGTGTTCTGCGAGTGGAATCATCCTCATCTGCATCACAAGTGCAATTTGCAACGGTCAAATAAAGGAGACAGATATCAGTTTCTGTGACCTGACGTCGCGCTTGCAGCGGCTGTACTGCTGAACAAGACCCCCTTCGGAAAAAATAACTTAAAAAAAAAATCAATCTAAGGCCAAATGCTAGTTCTGCCAGCCACTGCAAGTGTTTCCAAACACAGCCGCTAAGTTGCTACACACTCCAAGAGTCATTTCCCTGAATAAACCAGACTGAGCCACGGCCCTTCCAAGCGAGGACACACCGCACGGTATCAGGTTCTTTTTCTCAGATCAACCAGCCCTACTTTCCTTAACTCAGTCCAGAGGACAACGTGACATCGAGTATCACAAACGTTTGGATAGATGTGTTGCTTATAATTTAAAAAAAAAAAGCTCCAAGCCCACAAGACGTGGGTGACACCGTAATGCCCTCTTTGTTTCAAAGTGCATTTAAAGACTGAGGTGTAAACAACATCATATTGAGAGGACAGAAAGGTTAAAAAGCTAAGGGTTGCTAACTCCGGGTGGTATCCTAGTGAGTACGTTACTGTCACAAGGTGATTAACTGGGGCCCTCCTCGGGGCACCGCTGCAGAGGCTGCAAGCATTTTACTATATTAATCCCCCAGTGCTGGGAGAAGGTCGGCTATGCTATCGACATAGTAATCAGGAACCAGGCTCTGCCTGGCCGGACAGTCGCTCTCCTGGTGGCCCTTCACTTCGTCCAGCGTGGTGACCCCGGTAAGCGTCAGCAGGGTGGTGAGGCCGCAGCTGTTGCCCATGAGGATGTCTGTGTCCAGCCGATCTCCCACCATGATGGTACGAGCAGGATCGATGTTGAACTCGCTCACCACACAATCAAACATGTACCGGTTGGGCTTTCCTACAATGAACGCCTCGCGCTGGGCTGCCGTCTCCACTGCTTTTACCAGGCAGCCAGTCCCTAGGGAGAGAACAGAAAACATTAATTAGAGACTGCAGAAGACTCTCGGCATCCACACGAGCTGGTACAAAGCCGCACAGCGCTTTGGAAATGTAACCCCTCAGCTTCACAGACAGGACAGGCAGAGGAAGGGGTTACTCCCAAGAGAGGCGGTGCATAAAACCTGCCAGGAGGCTGGAATACCGTCCCACATGGAGATCAAAAAGGAGCCGC